GCTAAAAAATTCATATGGGTACAGTGTTGCATGACCGTGCAATTGTCATTTAGAGTGTGATAGTGCTGAAAGCTGAAAATTGTCCTGGACAGGAAGGGGCTAAAAGTGTCCGGCCTTGAAGTGGTTAACTGACAATTGTGCGGTCAGGCAACACTGTACCCAAATTAAATTTACGTCCTTTTTTTTTTAGCTTTCTTTCGGTGGTATTTGATCGCCTGTGTTTTTTATTTTTTGCGCTATAAGCAAAAAAAAGACCAACAATTTTGAGAAAAAAAAACACAATATTTTGGACTTATTGGGCTAATAAGCCCCCAACATATTGTTTTTTTTCTCAAATAAGTCCAAAATATTGTTTTTTTTTCTCAAAATTGTCTTTTTTTGCTTATAGTACAAAAAATAGGCGATCAAATATCACCAAAAGAAGGCTCAATTCGGGGGGAAAAAAAAAAGGACATAAATTTAATTTGGGTGCAGCATTGCATGACCATGCAATTATCAGTGAAAGTAATGCAGCGCCGTAACACAAAAAATGGCCTGGTCAGAAGAAGGGGGTAAATCATCAGGAGGGCTAGTGGTTAATAAAGAGTGACAAAATGCCTCACTTGCCAATCTCTTGATAAGAGAGCAAAATTGGTGATTGCCACTAGCACCGGTATTAAATGACCTATCAGTTCCTTTCTGAATTGTTCATCCAGATTTATACTATATTTTCTCAGATGTCTAATAGGATTTATATCATAAATGCTTCACCGCTCACAATTCTATTTCACACAATCCCCACCCCTCCAATCTATTGTTCATTCAAGTTTATCCATTCAAGAGAACTAAAACTGCGCCTTCCAACTGTCTCTCTACCAGACTCTGGGTTTCTTTCCTTAACATTTAAACACAGTTCATCCGCACCACTGGTCAGTGCTCATACCTTCTGCTGATGAACACTGTGCTTCAATACTCAATTATTTAAAGAAAGGATTCTCCTGTTTAGTCCATCTAAAGTTATATTCTCACTCATTTTCCTTTATCTCACTTACAGATATACTACACACTTTGTATTGTCAACTCAGTCCAGCCTATATATTGTTTCCCATCTTCAAGGTAATACACACTTATTTCATCCTGCTGAGTATTTACCTTAAAGGCTAAATTCACCCATTCAGGCAGAATTTTGCTTTTCATAATAAATAGAAGCCTTTTCTCATGTTTTTGTTTATGCCCAGCCATCGCAATGTGTGTATCTGTCTCTTACCTAGTCCATGGCAGCTTTGAATTTGCACCTCTCTGTTCAAAAATTTTAAAAAATGCATTCTGAGCCCATCACTTCCTGTCATCATGTGACTTTCCAGAAACCGTCATATCATTCACTGCCTTACTGGACCACAGATAGCTGAATGACGGCCAGACAGTTCTGGGAGGGCGTCATATGACGTATATTTACCTCTCTGGGCCCCACCTCCGTATTAGCAGTAATTTCCAGCAAAAAAAAATGCATATTTTATTTTGACTATTGTTTTATATTTTTGAAACCAAGGTTTTATAGTACACTCTGCTGACATAATTCCACATTTTTCTTTTCACTGCTTTCAGCATCATTTAAAGTTAATCTTTATTTGTACCATTTACAGTTTATGCATACTGAGCTTAAACAGGAGAATTGCCTTATTTTTCTCCTGCTTGTAGAAGCAGCTCAATGCTACCATTTGTGTCCATGCATATTAGGGCGTTTAGAGACATATTTCTAGAGAAGAGTTTAGAGGCAGAAAAAAAAACATCACAAGTGCATTTTTGAGAGTTGTCAGGCAGAAAAAAAAATGCTAAAATCTCATAAATGCGCATAAAAAGGTGGCATTTAGGAGCATTCAGTGTTTTCATGTGTACATTGATTATAGTGAAAAATGGGCAGAGGGGAATGTTTTGGAAAAAGCATTTTATAAAAGTAAATGCCCATAAACTCTCTTAAATTCTTGTGCAATACGAACTACTGTGAGCATTTTCTGCCCCTTTTTCTGCCAGAGAATCTGGCATTTTCTTCTGCTCCAAGTGTGCGTGAATCCTTAACCACTTGCCGACCACAGATAGCTGAATGACGGCCAGACAGTTCTGGGAGGGTGTCATATGACGTCCTCCCAGAACGCACCCTCCAGCGCGCCCCCAGGGGCGCGCACCTGGTGATCTCCATGATTGCTGTGTCCTATGGACACAGCTGATCATGTGATGTGGTAAAAGGCCAATCATAGCAGCCTTTTACCACGTGATCAGCCGTGTAAAATGACACAGAAGATCACCGGTAAATGCAATTGCCAGTTATCGGCTGCACTTTCCTCGCGCTGTCACAGCATAAGGAAAGTACTGCCGATAGCTGGCAATTGTTAGAGGATGGATCTGCACTGATCATCAGGTCACCGATGATCAGTGCCCTGATGATCAGTGCCAGCAGTGCCACCCACCAGTGCTGCCCACAAGTGACCAGCAGTGCCACCCACTTGTACTCAGCAGTGCCACCCACCTGTGCCCAGCAGTGTCACCCACCTGTGCCCAGCAGTGCCACCAGTCAGTGCCATCATTCAGTGCCACCCATCAGTGCCGCCTATCGGTGCCCATTATTGTTGCTCATCAGTGCCGACTCATCAGTGCTGCCTATCAGTGCCGCCTATTCGTGCCACCTCATCAGTGCTGCCTATCAGTGCAGCCTCATCAATGCACATCAGTGAAGGAGAAAAATGACTTGTTTGGAAAATGTTATATCAGAAACAAAGAAAAACTTTTTTTTTTTAAATTTTTGCTCTTTTTTGTTTATAGCACAAAAAAAATAAAACACCCAGCAGCAATTAAATACCACCAAAAGAAAGCTCTATTTGTGTGAAAACAAAATGATAAAAATGTCATATGGGTACAGTTTGCATGACCGCACAATTGTCATTCAAAATGAGACAGCACTGAAAGCTGAAAATTGGCCTGAGCAGGAAGGGGGTATAAGTGCCCGGTAGGCAAGTGGTTAAAGTACACTTTACAGTACACTCAATTTATATCATGAATATACACTCACCGGCCACTTTAGATACATCTGTTCAATTGCTTTGTAACACAAATTGCTAATCAGCCAATCAGATGGCAGCATGCCATGCATATATGAAAATTATGGCAAGAACTGCCTACCCTCATCCACACTAAGTGCAGCTGTAAAAAAAAAGGACAAAGGATAAGGTAAATTATAAGATTAAAGCAGCAACACAAAAAGTAGAAGGAAGAGCTGTTAGAACCTCTATCAGTTTTTTTTCCATTGTGGTTTGTGTCTGTTGAGTAGATTCGGGCAGCACAGTGGCTAAATGGTTAGCACTTCCACCTGGCAGTACTAGGGTTGTTGGTTCAAATCCCAGCCACGGCAACAGCTGCCTGGAGTTTGCATGTTCTCCCTGTGCCTGTGTGGGTTTCCACCGGGTACTCCAGTTTCCTCCCACACTCCAAAGACATGCTGGTAGGTTAATTGGCTCCTGTCTAAATTGTCCCTAGTATGTGTATATATGAATGTGAGTTAGGGACCTTAGATTGTACACCCCTTGAGGGTTAGGGACTGATGTGAATGTACAATATATATATGTGTAAAGTGCTGCATATATTGACGGCGCTATAGAATTACATGAAATAAAAAAAATATATATGAACATTCTGTGTACACTCATAAAATGAAAATAAAATAAATAGCATTGTGAACACTTCTAAATAGCTGAAATGTATACAATTACCCTCAATAGAGTGATAGCAAGCCTTTAAAGAGTACACCATGGACTCTCACGCACGTGTTGCTGTCACTCCCTGGACTCTCACTCCAGTATGTCACAGATAGGGTTCCAATCCTTAGGCAAACATCTCACATTTCCATCATCCTCATGAATAGAGAAAGAAGCCCATATAGTGTAGTATTATAGGTATTAAAACATTTATTTGTAGTGCTTACATTTAGGGACTTAACAATCAGCAGAAAATTCCCATGACACAGCCTAGAGCAGGTTCCCTGTTCCCTGCCATTTCCAATAGCAAACATGGCCGCCCCGCCACTTCCGGTTTGCGTATTACGTCAGACGTCACGTCCTCTGATGCGTTTTGTCACTTCCGAACTTCTTCTGAAGGGATTTTTGGACTTTACACATTGACTGAAACAAAAAAAGGTTATATATATAGGTATTATATATATATATATATATATATGCATTCACCTTACAGAGTGCCTAAGAGCCCGAGAACCCAAGAAGTTCAGTACAGAAATATTTACTTCTGGAAAACAAAAGATTTGTAATCTTCACTACAGCTGTCCTATTGTACACCACCAAAAGAATAAATGTACCATGCTGCTATAGTATAGGAAAGGGCAATTAATAGTGTTTCTTATCATACAGACAGCTAAATCCATCCCTATTTAATGCAAATGTGTGACAAATCACATCTTCCTGTTTATTGTCTGGCTAATGGAAAAAAATTTTTTTGCCTAGCTCAAGTCAGTCCGTTTGCCTGCTCTAGCTCATGTTTGAATGTATACCAATGAGTACAAGGTGTTCTCATTTCACAATAAGCTCCATCTTCATGATTTATTACCTATTTAGTGAAATACAAAGAACACTGCTGCAAAAAAAGAGGCAAGGATAGGAGTATGTGGAATTTGAAGGCAATAATAGGTGAACAAAAAAGTCCAATGTCAGTTGGAATGTACTGTAGGTATATTAAGAGGCAGTTGTCACCTTTGACATTAAAATTCAGCCAAAGAACAAATTTCAAGTGTGTCAAACTCATCTGACAGGCAGCTGGAATATTGTATGGCTTTTATGGGTCGATTAATAGAACAAAGAAGTGCAGAGCTACACATTCAAAATGTACTACGAAACATAATGTCAGGGCTCCCAGGTGTGACCAGAGGTGTGTGACTGACGCAGGGAAACGCAGACTTCAGATATGTGATAAACAATATAATTTATTAACACTAACCATACAAACATAAACGCAGTGCAATACTAAAACATAATACAGTGCAAACAAACCAAACCAACCACCCACAGATAACAGTACATACAAGCAAGCGTCGTCAGGCAGGCCGGGTCAATATCAATAGGGCAGGTAGGTACAGGGGGAGCAAGCGGAGATGGGTCGGGGTCACAGGCCAGGTTCAGCAGGTAGCTAGCAGCGTAGTACAGAGGGTCAGGCAGAGGGATGGTCAGGGTCACAAGCCAGGGATCAGAACAGGTAGCAAGCAGCGTGGTACAGAGGGTCAGGCAGAGGGATGGTCAGGGAGCGAGCCGGGATCAGAGCAGGAGAAGTCAGCAGCGGTTCAGATCAGGCAGGGTCAGCAAAGGAACAGAAACAGGATGCAGGACAGATACAGGGCCCAGGACAAACACAACACCAAGGCAGAGTCTGCAAGTCTGGCCATCCCTTAAATACACCAGTATCATCAGTTCCAGGT